TAACTTTATATTTGGTTACCAACCTTTATATTTGGTTGGGCTACTAGCGTTGTTAGGGCAGATTGGTAAACTCGTATTAATATTCATTTATCGTGATTTATTCCACGCGATACTCAACCCTCCTCGCCTCAACTTATGTATCTTTTGGTTAACCACTCTCTTTTTCATTCAGTGCTTCCCTTTCATGCCCGTAAATCAAATTCCCTGATCATATCTGCTATTCACGCTTGCATTTATCGGCAACCTTTTACAAATTATATATATATGTATGTATAATATGCGCCCACGTATGCTTTCATATAGTCTTATTATACGCCACGTACGTATATCAGTATTATAAGTAATTTCAAAAAGAGCTACGTCGCGCAGATTCCAATCTAGATAAGGATGCGAAACTGCTTCCTCTAGGCGGCGACATTAGACTCCGATAAACCAGGAAATTCTCCCTGCTCACGTATCATCGCCACCCACTAAGTTTTCCAACCCTCAAGCCTTCCCACGAGCGCGCAGTGCCCTCTTAATAGCCCCCTGACATACACAATCCCGCAAATCCTCCCTCAGTCTAGGTTTTTCTAGAAGCAACAGCTATACCCCGTTACATCTCATCCCTCTGTCATGAATTTTAATGGAATATCTTTTCTACTACTTTTTCCCCTCTTTTTTTCTTATACTTTCAACCCTTCACAATTTTCTCTTACGTCATCATGAAATTAATCCTTCCTTCGCTTCTATCTACACGCTACACATTTATTCATCTACTGTCGTATTCGAAGAGAAATTTCGCTCGCTTGTACAGATGCTGTATAAATGTTTTATTGCGCAAAATATTGATTCTCAGCCATTCTCTCGTCATCATATAACGGGGATACCTCATTCTGTGCCATATTGAATTATTGAATCTTGTTCGGGTCCTCGAGATCTCAGTGAAGAAATATTGTTAATATTTATAATATTCACTTGTGAATTATACAATTCTACCTATATTTGCCTGAAAGATCAAACTTCAATTTATATAATTACTTTATATAATTTCAAAGACATATCTACATACAGTATCAAAATAAAATTTCTTTTACGATAAAATATTTTCTTTGTGTTTCAGGATCACTTTTGGAGGAAAGATGACATTTTAGGTAAGCTATAGGAAAATAGTGAATCTTATACTTTTATTTCTGAGTAATCTTATTAGTGGCTGATATAGAAACCAGCCCATGCTTTCCCATCCATTCGGACGCCTTGGAAAATGTCTGTTGATCCTATAAGTTCTTTCTATAACTGTACTGAGTTACAGTGACGCCTTAATTGAATTGCTGTTAACTTTAAAGGATACATTCTTCCTTCATTTCAATTATTGTGAAATTCGGTACCCGCTATTTATCGAGGTCGTTGATTACGAATTTGAAGTCGAAATTTTCGGATTTAATATAGCGGATCTAATATATTTGACCGAAGTGGGAAAAATTATTCGAATTGTACTAAACTCCGGTACTCGGGAGCTTTTGAGTTCACTGACCATAAAACTAAACTTAAAATTGGCAAATTTAAAATGTCAAATGAGCACAGTGCCTCATTTTGAATTTGCAAATTTCATGTTCAGATTCGGATCAGCCATTTTGGATATGAAGATTTTTACTGCAGATCCGGACGTAGCGAACCTTAAAACATCCGGGTAAACATTTTTATTTAAATCGGATGAAATTTACTGTTCTTTTTAACAATTTTTATAAAATGTTGCTCCTAAGCAGCACCAATGTACTTCAAAGAGTTAAAGAAAATGTTGGGGAGGCAGGATACATGCATAAACATATACGTCTCTACTTACCCAACTGTACGAACCAATAGTATCGTAAAAAGAAATATTTTTGCCTATTTCAATAGCCTGGGAAGCAATTCTGAAAATTACATTCTGCGCTATAGAAATGTTTCTTGTGTTTATATAGTGCAGTGGCTATAAACAAGTAAAAGTTGTAAAAAACACTGCTAGGTATTGGTAGAAGAATGTATCTTCAGAAATGGTTGTTTCGTGCCAGTTACTCCTATATTGGCAGCAGGATCCCTCATGCCGATCATTTGCCGATAAGGTGCGTTTGCGAAATTGGTCCGGTTGTATAAATGTTCCTTTTTATTTTATGCGCTGCTATCGGTACTATTTGCCGTGTACTATGCGCCATATAAAATAAGCATATACGTATATCTATAAACATAAATACACGTACCTTATGCTACCCTGCTTTTTATTAACGACTGGTATATTTATTTTGACGATAGCCCCACAATTCCTCACGAAATTGTTCGACATGTCGTAACGTCTACATACACATTCATTATTATTCTTGATAATTAAAATGCACTTGTTTGTTTTATGTAGATATTGGATACTGCGAAATAGTTGACGCAGAGTCAGGTTATTTTGTTACGTTTCGTTCAAGAGCGGATTTTCGGTTCATATAGATTAGCACCCTTAGCGTTCAGGGCGCTGATGATGGAAGCCATTCGGGAAAGTTTTAATCGCTTGCAGAACACTTTAGGACCATTTTTAACTCTCCTTTTTCGTTATTCCGTGCCGTGCTTCCACTTTCTCTTCTTCGTCGAGAAGGGTCGGTGAAACAGGGCTGCCAATCTATCACTCAGCACCTTTTGGCATGAGCACTCGAGGATCGGAGGGTTGTTACGTTGGAAGCTTCTGGCTCGAGTAGCAGTCAGCTGCTAATGCAGATTTTATTAATTATACGGTGGTTCGTTAAAGATTTCTGGAAAATTAAAAAAGAGAGATAGCGCGTTCAACGAGCTGACAGAAACGTAAGGAAAATGTGAAATATTTTAAACAGTGAATGTAGCTTGTCACGGATTCATACGCCAAAATTCGATTAATCGCTGTCCATCAAAGATTTTGATGAAAATTGGAAACTTTGACGATAGGTGGGAATTGCCTATTTTAAAGTTAAATTAATACTATACAAGCGAATACAGTTATTTATTTAACACCATGAACTTCAACGTGGAACAAACCCGACTTGCCGTTGATACACGAAATGGCCAACTTTTTGATAGTCCAAAATTATGTGCTGGTCCATGATATAACCACGAAAATTCCTCGATGCCAGCTACTGCAAGTTATTGCCATTTACGCATAATCTATTCGGATAATTGCGAAAAACTGTTTTTAACAGTATCGCCCAATTTTTCCGCTAGTAGCGCCACTGCAGGAACATAATTTCCCATTATGGAGCAATGAATTCTTTAAGGGAAAATCATGATTGGTAGAACCTAAATTGGAGTACGGTTGTAAATACATAGATCGGTTAATACACTGCCATAAGTACATCGCACATGAGGAAAATGGTCGCCCTCTTATATCGATCAAGGAAAATATACATATTTATGACTCTCGTTGTAAATGGCACGCTGTAAATTTTAATTTTCCAACTTATGGTCCTGTCGGCCCTCGCGGACCTCTCAATAAATCTCGGGAAAAGTATATCATTAGTCATTACTCGCAAAAGATGTAGCAATTTAAAAATTCATATTCATAATTTAGCAATATATATTTTCTTGATTTCGCATTAACTTACTGACAAGATGACTGGTAAACTCCTATACGAAATCCACGTCACGCAGCTGTCTTTTATCACACCATCGTGAATTAGGTATAGCATGATCTCAAATCGGAAATCGAGATTTCTAAATATTTTTTCACAAGGAAACCAAATTGTAACAGTGTCACATGACAAATGGGAATTCGTTTCCTCAAACAGATTTTTTTCCTAAATAAAAAAAATAAGAGCTATGTTGAATGAGGAAGGGCTATGAATACAATATTTGGGAATGGGCTCCTGAATCTGCATCCGATCCAGATATGCCCATACCTAATCTCTATATAACCATATAGCAATGTACTAGATTTGCTACACACGATAGATAAAATAAAGAAACCTCAAGATTTTTAATTCATTCAACTTTTAAATTTCCATACCCTTCTTCGAGTGACAATTAAATGTTCATTGAACACAACATTTTTCATTATGTATTGCAATTAAATATTTTCGCGGAATTCTCGTGTCTAAGCTGTTTTTTGATTAGACATTGTTAAACTATAGGAAATATACTATGCAGAATCCCTAATTCTTAATGACTCATATGCACGCATGCATACATATAGAATTTAGATTATTTATTGGACTGCACGTTGGTTCTGATCTTCGGCATCTATTAGTTTTCTATTCCATCGAGGTATTTTCGTACGAGAATTTTCTTAAATCTGTCAGCAGGCAAAGCATCATAGCGACCAATGGAACTTCTTCGGATTTACGTTGTATTATTCAAAGTTAATAAACTACCGTTTATTTTATCTGATAGCAGTATATAATAATATAACAATAAGACATTGGATATACATATTTATACAACAATAATAATCAATGTTATTTCACTTGAACATATCCAAACTAACCCGTATATGTATTCAGAATCAAATTATTATTTCTCATTATTTGTATAAAATTATAAAAGATCATGCTACGCTTTTAATCCTGCGTGATATTTCTTGACAAGTCGTTATAATTAACATGAGAACGCAAATTTATTTCAATTATTCAGATATTAAGTGCTAATAAAATTATGACCTCCAGGACCTTCGTTAAAAATTCGATGAGTTGGAGGAATGTGAATTCCGATATAAGCCGATTAATAATATATTCAAAATCTCGACATAAATTATATACATGGATTTCCCTCGTGACATAGGATAGTCGGATCCACGATAGGGCTGTTTATTACTATCTCTTCTTGGATATATGCATGCTTATTTTTAGGGCCTTTATACTTTTATTGACATAGATCTATATACGCACCTATAGTTATTATGGGGTTATAAAATATATATTTTTTTTATCAATCATGATGTGTACCTGAAATGACTGACTATCCAGTGTGCCGTATGCTACGATTTACGAGCGTAAGGGATGAGTTATCGGCTCTGAGGAGGATCGAGTGATGTGAAAAATCGAACGGAATTAATTCAGTTATTGAAAAATTGATGGAAAAAAAAATGGAAAAAAAAAGATAAAATGCGAAAAACTCCATCTATGGGTATCATTGACGTGGTGATCAAGTTTGAATTCAGATGATCTTAATAAAAAATGGGTGAGAAATCTAGTTAAAAGAGAGTCTTAATATTTTACAATACAAAATAAAAGATGTTTCATCTGAAAAAACATTAAAAAATTTTTTTCGGAAACTTTAAAAAATTCTGAAAAATAACTTATTGATGCCTTAAAAGTTCCCACCAATTCTTATCAAATTCTATTCAGCCATTCAAAATTTATAGAATTTTTAAGTAAAGTTATTAAGTAATAAGTTATAACTACTCTGTAGAAATTATATCGCTAATATTGGTCAATAATATTTATTTGCACTTTCAGTACATGAATTTACTACAACATAAAATTCTTAATTGCGTCAGACAAATTGATCTGAGTTGTTCATAAACTTACTCTTAGTGCACTCTGAACTAAAAAAAAAGATATTTAAGTATGTATATGGTTTTGAGTATTAATGGGAGAGAGAACAAACAGCTCTGAATGTGTTCTCAACAAGTTTGCGAACAGCCTGAAAAGGTGAGATGAAGCGCGGGTTGTTTTGTTTTTAGTTACAAAGCCATTGTTTTACAATCATCCCTGTGTTGTTTTCTCGACGTCAAATTCAAGTAATTGCTTGTATAACAATTTCTCGATGCAACAGAAATCTTATAAAGGCAAATGATTAGAATGAACATGTAGTAAAGAAATGAATGTCAATTTTGTACGTATAAAATGCGAACACAGAACTTTCAAATAAATAGTGTAATTTACTCTGATATGGTGAAATTTGCTTGCTTGAGGCAAAAAATTCCTGTGATCGTTGGGAAACCATAAAAACTCCACTAATAACAGAAAGCGAACAGAACATCACGACGTAGTGGTCTGTAGGGGTGATAGTTTCTGGTGGGGCCTTGATGATTCCTACACTCCCGTATAAACCGAAGTTTCTAGAAGGTGATCGACCAGTTACCACCACAGATAATTCAAATTTATATAAATCCAGTGGAAAATTTGTGTGGCATACAGCAGATTCTCTGTTACTTTGCAGCATGAAC